GTCTGAGCGTTTCCGCTTGCTCCAGCCGATGCACCGTGTAAGGAACTGGCGGTGGGTCCCGTTGAGCTTCATGTAGTGTTGTGTATCGGACTGAACATCATATTGGCTACAATTACTCCCTTTCTTGCGTTGCAGCTTCAATCCAACCCACCCCACCCCAACCCAACCCAACCTAACCCCTCCCACCTTCGGCAGTCATGGAAACCGCTGTTCAAAGCAGCAAAGCAGTGTGGTAGCAGTGTGGGCGGGCGTATGAGAGCGAGCACGTCCTAGCAGACCGTGGAGCTCCGTACATGCACCGACCGCAACATCATCGGTTCGCGTTCGAAGAAGAGAACTGGTTCGCAACCGAAGAACCGGTTCCCAACATCGGCCCGCAGTTCGCAGCCGCAGTCCGCAGTCCGCAAGCCTACAACACACCGGTCGCCCCGGTGGTCTAGTGGGTAACATCACAGCCTGCTAAGGGCCAGGTCATGGGTTCGAGTCCCGGCAGAGTGAGTTTTTTTCTCACTAAATAAATCCTAGTCTAGGATGAAAGCGACGCGCTGCAAAGCTCGTTGTTAGTAAACCATAATCGACTTCGTAAGTCGCGAGGGAAGGGATTGCTGTACCGTTCTCGCGATAAAAATACAAAAATACCTCAGGCAGGAACCCCAGGAGGGGGTCCAGCCCCCCCCCTCCTATGTGACCCCGGTTGGGTCGTCTAGCTAGTAGAAGTGGAGGATAGGGGCCAGAGGGGCAGACGACAGAGTCCAATGATGGGAGAAAAAAAAAATAATACTTGATGTATCTCTCTGTATATCTGGTACAGTCGAGGGACCTTTATAGTGCCGGTATGTGTCGAGAGATTTCACCGGCACTAAACCGGGCACCCGGCACTATTGCGAATAATGCCAAAACGGCACTATTGAGGGCTAGCCAATCCCTCATTAGTGTCGGTCTGGCACTAGTGAGAACGTGTGCGACTTATGGTGTAGCGCTCACGCTTGCGGGGCCAAGTCAGTACTACTGTAGTACGAAATGGATCGACACTGCTGTTATGTGAAGTTCTAGTGTAGGCCTGGGCAGACTTTCTTTCCCGCGACATGTGCGGTTTCACCCTGTCTGTCGAGCCCACAAAAGTTTTGTAAAATAAGATCGTTGCATTTCGGGCTACAGCAGCAGTGCCTCACCAAGACTAGTCGACGGCGAAAGGGAAACACACATCATGCACCCGAGTAGGCTGTGACCGGCACAAACTGCTTGAAATGCTCTCGTTCGTACAAGGCTATATTTTCCCCTTTGTTACCCTCCTTCAATGTTGAAAAATGAAAATCAAAAGAAACAAAACAATTTATAAGCGCACCAAAGAAAAATTAAAAAAAAGCACACAACTACAGCTGTAGCCCCCGCCCTTGCTGCGTCGCGACAAATTCTCTCGTGTCTTCCTGGCGCACCCCCTTCCATGTTGCAACAAAACACAATAATACAAAACAAAAACAGGCAGCGCACCGCAAGAAAACAACCACTGCTACAGCTGTACCCGCATCCTCGCTACGTCGCGACAAATTCTCCCATGTCCGCCTGGCGCACCCGCGTAGCGGAATGCGCTACTATCGTCGCCATCTTCGCTTTCGCTAGATAGAGCGCCGCTTCTCCGTTGCCACTCGCCTCTGCTGCCGCTTCCAGGACGCCGAAGCAGCTGACACCGGTGGAAGGGGACAATCTAAACTCCCGAAGGTCACGAATGGGGGGAATAAGAAGTTTCAGCCTTCTCGTAAGGGGCCTCGTGCGCGGCCGGATTTAGACGCCAAGCTTGAGATGCTGAAGCTCATGGATGCCAAGGTCACTCATGAGCAGATAGCGGACCGCTTCGCGTGCTCGGTACTGCTGGTCCGGGATGTGAAGAAAAGCCGGCAGAAGTAGCGTACCTTCAGCATCTCAAGCTTGGCGTCTAAATCCGGCCGCGCACGAGCGTATTTCTGCCGGCTTTTCTTCACATCCCGGACCAGCAGTACCGAGCACGCGAAGCGGTCCGCTATCTGCTCATGAGTGACCTTGGCATCCATGAGCTTCAGCATCTCAAGCTTGGCGTCTAAATCCGGCCGCGCACGAGGCCCCTTACGAGAAGGCTGAAACTTCTTATTCCCCCCATTCGTGACCTTCGGGCGTTTAGATTGTCCCCTTCCACCGGTGTCAGCTGCTGGCGCCTTGCGCTTGCCGTCCTTGGCGACGCACGCACTGCAGATGCGGTGCTGTTCGTTGTCGCCAAACATGCTGCCGCAATTNCCACATCCTCCCTTGCAAGGGTGGCCGTGTGGGGCCTGCGGCGTCTTATCCTGTTGAGCGCACAGTTCACCTTCCGCACATGGCATGGTACGCCCCTGCGTAGAGCTGTTCTGGTCTGCAGCAGAACCTGTACCCTACTCCTCTGTCTATCCAGAGTCTGTCCTCTGCCTGGTTGTCTGTGTGTGTGTGTGCTGTACGTGTGCGCGGGGGGGGATGAACCGGCACTATTGAGGGTGACAGTGGTGCCCAACCGGCACTATACCGGGCATGCTCACAATAGCGCCGGTATGGCACTATTGAGGGCTCCGCCTGTGTCCGGAGATTTTACCGGCACTAAACCGGGCACCTGGCACTTTTCAACCGGCACTATAAAGGTCCCTCGACTGTAACCACAGGTTGCCGCAACGCCACGCCGAAGGCGTTTTGCGGCACTTTTGCCCCCCGCAGGGGGGCCCCGGGAGGGCGCCCCCCGCGTAGGAGCCTCCTGTATAGGGGCCGCCGAGGCGAGTTTTTTCACGGTGTGTATTCGACGTAAAGGGTGCTTCGCCCGCCCCCTTACCAGGGGGCCGGGCTCGCCTAATACCCGCAATATCGGCAAGGGAGGCTAAGGATCATCGGTGAATCAAATTTGCGACACGGGCAAAGAGCAAAAAAATCTGCTTGCAGCCAGAGTTTAGACATGGTGGGTCATATTTCGAGTAGTGTTTACACATTGATAGTAGATCTTTAGGACTAACGCGTTCTGATTGGTTGGGCGTTGTTTGGCGATGGTTCTGGCGACCGGTTCCTTTCCAGCTCCCTCTCCCCATTCCGCATTCCGAGCACGCGGCGCAGCCGCGTGCCGCCCAGTTCGCGGCCGCTAGGCCGTGCTTTGGCCCTGGGTGAGGGTTAGGGTTAGGGTTAGGGTTAGGGTAGATGTGGGGTGAGCAACCTAGCCTTGCTCGCATGAAGAACCTAGCCTTGCTACGTTCAACATCGGTTAGTCCTAAAGAGTTACTATCAAAGTGTAACCAAGGCTCCATTTTTCTGGCTTGTCCTCAACTCCCGCGCTCACATTTCTGAGGACCAATCAGCCTCCTCCTGGTCTGCATCAACCACCATACATACAAGACGGAGCATACACACACCTCGTGGCGGATACCTTTTTCATTGCTGTTGCTTGAGTGGGTGGCAAGGGATCATCGGTAAACGAAAATTGCGACACGGGCAAAAGAGCAAACAAAACTGATGGTTGCTGGCGTGGTGGGCATTTTTCTTTTTTCCAGCTTGTTGACTCTCGCCACCTCGGTTTTTCCATGCCTCTTACTTGTATCGCCCTGTGGTCTCTATCAGTCGCCACACAAGACGGACCATACACAAAGCTCGCGGGGGATAGGTTTGCAGCAGTTCCTGCTGCTTCAACCTGTGCGGAGACATCACCGAAAAAAAAATCGATCGGTGGGAAGGTACATGTACGTGTGTGTGACGAACGCGGCCGTTGCATTGTCTACTTTTTAGTCACTGACTCGATTGTGGAGGTCAGGATATGGAGATTCAGGGGGCACAGATAGATACATGTGCATAAAGAGTAGGATCTGAGGGAATATGTGATAGTCTAACAGATTAATACCGTTTCCCGAGGGTCCATGACTCTTGCGATTCCCAACGGCTGCGAAGAGTTGATGGATCTTTGGGAGGATGGGAAATGAGTCCACGAAGGCTCGTCCACTCTCTGCACCACCCTGGCTTGACTGAATTCGCTCGGTCACGCTTGGCATTCCTCGCCACATCGCACCAATGGAAATAGCCAACCTCCGGTGGCAGGACATAGCCACCACACTCCCGGACTCTCCGCTCACCCAGAGTAGAGGGCTCCAAAGGATGAGCACAAAGGATCGACCAGCACCGCAAGGAGCGGGTCATCTTTGTGTAGATAGATCCTTTCTTGGGCCGTCCCTTTCGTAGGAAAAAATATCTCCAAAAACAAACCTTATAACAAATGGCCTAGATGTGGGCCACCTTTTTTGTAGATCACTTTTCGGGTCGTCCCTTTCGTGGGAAAAAGATCTCCGAAAAACGGAAATGCTATATGCTCCACCGGTAGAGTAAATTCGTATTTAGTCTATTTGCTCCACCAGTGATTTGCTCCACCAGGCAGTTCTCCGCCCACAAAGCTCCAATCGACCTCAAACCAACTGCATCGTGTAGGTAGGCTACAGCTTCTCGCAAGCCCTCCACCGGTGCACCTACCCACGTCAGGAACCAACCTAGCACCTACCCAAGCAATTGCTTCTCCTATCAACACCAACGTAGAACCAATGCAGGTCCATCAACGTAGAACTTAGTCAGAGCCAACCTAGCACCTATCGGGTGGATTGGGGGTTAGGGTTAGCCTTAGATTTTTGGCCAATGCATCGAATATTTCTCGTTTTGCTTGGGTAGGTGCTAGGTTGGACCCTGAAGTGGGTAGATGCTGTTATGGTATTCGGAGGTAGACATGATCGTGGTTGACCATGGTTATTTGGCGTAATCAGATGCCATGACGTCACGTCATGCTAGATTAGGGCTTCATGCCGAGGCATGTGCCCTTCTGTTCAGTGTGCAGACGATCCGGTGATCGTGTATGCTTGGGGACTTGTGAGTTGGCTCGGAAAGCGTTTATCAAGAGGAAGACCACAGCGGAAAGCAACAACAACCTGCACCTGTTGCCGGACAACAGAGTGCCACACAGCTCAAAGGTGATTGATTCTGAAGGAAGGGGTCGAATCTCAATACAGCAGTGCACCGACCGGTGGACTTGCTATATATAGTTGGAGCCCATACCTTCACGATGCAGTTGGTGGAGCAAATAGCATTACCGAAATAAAAATACAGAACGTTTGGAGGCAAGCTCGGGGTGGTATCCCTGGAGAGCAAGGCTACCCCGGGAGGCTCGGACTTCCACAGCTTTGACCCACCGGGTTTTCCCACTCCCGTTGCCCCTCTCCCCTGTCTCTTCCTTCACTACGACAAGCACCAAAGACCGGCATGAACAGAACACAAACCGCTGATGACTTCAAATCAGGATAATTCTGGAGGAGTTCAGATCAAGACTATTCCAGGGGGATTGGCACTATTGCCTCTCCTGCTCCTGCGGCCGCTTTGACTTCTTCTTGCCCCCGTCCTTGCTCTTTCCACCCTGCCGGCACCGCCACCGTCGCTCCTGCGCTCACCCGTCGCCGCCCTTGAACCAGCGACGCTGTTCCCGCCTTCCCATCGATGAAGGTGGGGTGAGGTCAAGTCTCTGGCCACGAACGCAAGGGACGGTTCGACGCTGCTGCTGGTACTAATACTGCCGCTACCTGCGCGTGCTGGGACCCTCACACCGGCTCGGGTGCTGTTCCCCTCGGGGGGCGACCAAGACTTCTTGGACAAGTCGTTCGCTCTTTTGTTCCTCTCGGGGGAACGGTAGTCCAGGTCGTCCTGGGAACGGTGTCTCAAGCTGGCATGTTTGCCGCCATGATCGGCCGCTCCTTGCTGCAAGAACCGCTGCTGCGATGGTGCTTGTATTGTTGCTGTTGTTCCGGTGGCCTGTGATGATGCTGTTGGCGCACGTCGCTCAGGGCCGAGATGATGATGATCGCGGTAATGTTCTTCTTGGTCTCCGCCGTGGTCGATATTGTTCCCGCCGGCGTGTTGTCCGGTTGGAGAGGAGGAGCGGCCGCGTCGTCCCAACATCCGTGTCTCGAGGGACCTCATGCGGTGGCTCAGCTCCAATATTTCTTCGCGGAGGTGACTACTATTGCTGCCACTGCTGTTGGCGTTGGCGTTGCTGTTGCTGTCGACGTTGCCGCCGCTTGACGCGTGTTGTACGTGGCCGCGGTTCTCTCCGTATGTCAGCACGTCGTTATCCCTCCTTGAGCCAGAGACTCTGTCATCATGATGCGATCAGAGGCACGGTAAAAGTGCGAAACGAACGCCGTTTTTGTTAGCAGGATGTTCCTGTGGTTCGATACAGTTGTAGAGACATGTTCCCTTCGACATCCACGTACCTGCCACGATCGTTCTCGGATGTCACATTGCCGCTGCCAGTATCCTTGACGGTGTTTGGTTGTCGAGACGGCTCGTTAAGACGGCCATTTCTCCTTCCTTCTGCTTCTCCTCCTTCGCCTCGTTCTATTCCCCATCCGGCACTCTCAACTCGCGGCTGGTTTGCCGTGGGATCCCCAGCACCGACATCCTGACGCTGCTGTTGGCTTTGGTGGTATGCATAGGAGTGGTGTTGCTGCTGCTGGTACTGCTGCTCTCCTTTGGCGAGCGCCTCCGCCTCGTCCAGCTTTGTGCAGAGCTCGACCAGCCTGTCAGAAGATCCATGCGAAACGGGTGTTTGCATTCTTTCAGTGCGGAAAACTACACACCTCCGTCCAAAGGGTTGCATACCGGGCCCGGTGCCGATTAGGGGAACCACTAAGCTACTTGCTATCATTTTTCATCGATCGTGCAGTACATGTTTGGGTTTGGGCACTCAACACAGTCCAGCTCGTCTGCGATGGAGTCCTGCTTGTTACTTGGGGATGTTCATGGTGTGATGACGTGCGAGGTAGGTTCATCCGCCGTTACACCTACCGGGCATATTTATCACACAACCTTGGGACGGGGTCGGAAAGTACGTTGGCTTTCTTGAAAGAGTGTGACAACGTGAGAGCTCTGTCGAAGTCGTCACCACGAGACTCAATTGGCGGGGCTTGATGCTGCCTCTTGCAGATCGGTGTCTCTCCACGCGAAGAAGACCCTCTTGGTGTGACTAACCCTGACCTAAATCACACGACGTTCGTGTGCACCATTGGGCTTCAACAGCACACCAGAAGCGCACCTGCTACAGATTGGCGTGTTGTACACGACACCGACCCAGCACTAAGTAAGGCTTATGCTCGGCTGCCGTAGTTGAGTCTTGACGGCGCAGGTGCCTCTTGCAACAATCGAGTCCTCCCTTCACGCTTTTACTGTTTCTCTAGAACACTTTCAACGTCGTCCGATTCCCAAGACCTTCCCACAGTTGACACGTTTCTCTCGACTAGGTGCAGGGAAGTAGCTGAAGGAGCACAGAACGGGTCAACGTCCGCACGGC